ATCTTGTCTCCGCCTGTTGGTGGCGGTGTGGTCCTTTATTCCCAGCAGTTGGGAGGTAGAGGCAAGCTGATCTCTGTGAGTTCGAGGTCAGCCTGCTCTACAGAGTGAGTTCCCGGACAGAAAAAAAAAAAGTAAAACTAGGCTTTAGGGGGCTGGAGAGATGGCTCAGTGGTTAAGAGCTCTCACTGTTTGCTCTTCCAGAGGACCAGAGTTCAGTTCCCAGCACCTGCCTGGCAGCTCACAACTGTCTGTAGTCCCAGTTCCAGCAAAAGCAAAACACCAAGGCATATAATTTTTTTTTAATCTTATCCCTGACTAAAGGAAAGCAAGGCACTCAGTGAATGCCTCACCTCCTTGGCAGAGGTGACACAGATGTGTCTTGATCAAGTATGGGGCTGTGAGAGCATTTAAAAGTGTTTGCTGGGGAGACTGATGACATGCCCTGGACTCAGGGTTACCCCTCCCACAGTGTCACGCCCTGGCTTCCCAGTGTGCTTTCTGGAGTGAAGGAAATGCCTGAAAAGAGAATGGCATTCATCCTGGATCTGGCCAGGAAAGCACAATTGAGAACCATTAATGCATTTAATCCTTTCTTCATACTGGCCTGCACCAGGGCTAAGGGCCGCGGAAGAATGAGGAATAGAACTGTACAACTAATCCTTTCCACTAGCTCATTTCTAAAGACCCTTTCCCTAACAGATTCAGACTCACTAAGCATAGAGTGGTCCTGTCTGCACTCCAGTCACAGGCTGAGTTATTTCTGAGCAGACTCAGGCTCCTGCCGGAAGTGTACACAGAACTACGCGTATACTTCACATTTAACCAAAGCAGCTCAGCTTACCGGCCTCATCTGGGAAACACTGTGAGGCCTCATGTGAGGAGTTAGTTTCCCTGGTCACATCAGCCAGCCTCACCAATTTGTACATGTCTCTCTCTTTACAATTACATTTTATTGTGTGTGTACAGCTAATCTTTTTAATTACATTTTAGTGATTGTCTTACGAGTGTGCAAGCCTGTTTGTGTGTTCATGTACACGTCTCGCACAATGTGTGGGGGTCTCAGAGAAGAGTTGCAGGAGTCAGTTCTTCCATCATGTGAGTCTCAGGGATCAAGCTCGCCATCAGGCTTGACAAGCACCTGTATCCACTGAGCCACCTCACCAGCTTCCTGGATAGGTATCTTTTTAAACATCAATGGGAAAACAATGATTTGAGGCAGATTCTTCAAGCTGTTTTGAGACTTGAGGACATACATTTCTCTGGAGAGATTTGGTGTGAGGTAAGCCATCATCACCTCAGCATGGAAGCCAGGACACTTCCCTTGATGCTAACACTAGGAGAAGGATTCTCAGAAGCAAAAGCGACAAAAGGGAAGCTGAGTATGATGGCCTCGAACATGAGAAAGGGGCTTAGACTTAGTGGGGAGAGGTGGAAGGGGCGTCAGGGCTTGGTGTGTGGTGTGTTGAGAGAAATAGATGCATTTTGTATGTATGTAAAATTGGCAAAGAGCAAACAATAGAAGTGTTTTAAAACTGATTGCTTTCAGGATCTTCATGTTTTCGTGCAGCTAGCCATTACACTAGTGTAAAAAGAAAAATTTCTAACTGGCTGGGGTCCAGGTACTGCGGTTGAAGCAAGAGATTGCTTGATGCCAGGAGTCTGGATCCAACCCAGGCAGCACAGGCAGCATATTGAGCAAGACCCCCTCAAGTAAGTAAATAAAATAAATTCCTGGTTGATTCCTAAATCAGCCAATAAGCTGACACCAACTGCAGTAGGTGCGTGTAGTCTTTGTCCTGGGATCGATTTTGTGGCCGATTTGAATGGAAAGGAGCATGTGTGGATTAACTAACGGAAATACAGAGTTTCCCAAGTGCTACAGAAAAATGATCTGGGGGCCAGGTTATGCTGGTTTGGTGGTTTTGTTTTCTATTGGTATTTTAAAACAAAGCTCTCACCAACCTGTATCCGAAGCAGTTCTTTTTGTTGTTTGCTTGTTTGTTTCTGTGTAGCCTTGGGTGTCCTGGTCTCTCTTTGTAGACCAGGCTGACCTGGAACTCACAGAGATCTGCCTGCCTCTGCCTCCCTGAGTGCTGGGATTACAGGTGTGTACCTGGCTCCTAGGTTGTTGTTAAACATAGTTTCCTGCTGTCGACTCCCAAGTGCTAGGAAAACAGGTGTGCACCACCATGCCTGATTGTGTGTGTGCTTTTTATTTACTTATTTTCCTGAGACAGGGTCTTACTTGAAACCCTGGTTAGACTTGATCTCATGGCAGTCCTGAACTACCTCCCACACGCTCAGTATGTGCTGTTGAAATGAGAGGGCTGAGAATGTGCCTCGGCTGTGTGGTGCTTGCCTAACGGGCATGCAGCCCTGGCCTCTACTCCCAGCACTTAAAGCGGGGTAATGATTCATGCCTGTAATGTCAGATAGAGATGGGTGGATCAGAAGTTCAAGGTTATCCTAGGCTATGTAGTGAGTTCTAAGCCAGCCCAAGCTAGGTGAGAGATGCTGTCTCAAATGAAAAATAAGACAGCAACAATAAAACAGGTCAGGAAAGTGAATCATTTCTTGTTTTGGACCTTAGAAATAAGAGGACAGCAGAGGAGTTCCCAAGCTATGTGGTTACACACACACACACAGACACACACACACACAGAGGCACACACAGTGTCACAAATACATAAAAGCTGTAAGGGGGGAAATTTGCTTACGTAGTGAAGGATAACTTAAGGCTTTTTTCATTATTCAGTGGAATTGCTCTTCTCACTTCATGGTGCTACATTCCCACAGGATAGAAGCTTTTGGCTTTGGAAAATCTGGTGAGGAAAATTACAGATGCTGTCTCTGGGGAAGAAGTGAGAGAGGTATACATTACATTCGCCCTTCTGCCAACTTTCAGCCTTTGGTGCATTCAGGAGCCCTGCTCTTAGGGAGATGCTTTGCAGGCTTTCAGTATTAAGCTGCAGATCATCCCCTACAGTCTGGCTAGGACTTGAGATTGCATTTCTAACCAGCTCCCAGGGGGTATCTGTGTGCAGACACCTCAAGTAATGGGCTCAGAACAGACTGGCCAGCACAATGGCCACTGCCCATATGTAGCTCAACCTGAGCTTTCTGAAATTGGACTTCGGTTCCTCAGTCCCAGAGGCTACAGTTCAACCCTTCACAACCAGATGCGTAGGCAGTGACTCCATATTGGATAGCAATACCCTAGTTAACAATATACTTCTGGGCTGGAGAGATGGCTCAGTGGTTTAAGAGCACCGTCTCCTCTTCCAAAGGACCCAGGTTCACTTCCCAGCACCCACAACGCAGCTCACACTGTCTTGTACCCCTAATTCCAAGGGATCTGACACCTTCACACTAATGCACATAAAATAAAGTTAAATAAATTAAAAAACAACAACAATATACTTCTAGGCAAGCAGGCCTTAACCTGTGATGCTAATGACTAAAAGCAAGCACATTGAGTTCCTGGACATTGCTGTGCATGGGAGATTCAGTTGTCATTATCATATCCTATGGCTGTAGGTATAATGTTCTTTTGGAATGTATAGAATTTGCCCTTGTTCATTCAAATGCTGATTTCTTTCCCCCACTATCCGGTTTCAATCCGGACATTGCATTGTGGTGCTTATTCTAAGCATCCGTCTGTCTCAAGTTTGTGTAAACATGCCACCATTTGTTCTCTATATTGTCAATTAAAATAACCAGCCACAAAGATGAGCAATGGAGAGGACAGGGTAGGACATCCTGGTCTGGAGCAAAAGTTGAGGAAGGAGGCAAGAGAGGAAAGAGTAGGAGACACTGGGAGGAGAAGTCTTAGAACCACATGCAGACATGGACTGGACCTTAGACATGACTAAAAGCAAGTATAATGGGTGAAATCTGAATGGTAGGAAACTATGTGGCTTGGAGGTTTAGGAGTAACTATTGCCCAGCATTGTGCTCTAGCTTAATTAAATAAATCCCAGTCTCTGTATGGTGATTTGGGTATACAGCTAGCTTAGGAATAACTGCTGCTTATCTAAAAGATAATTCAATAGTAAATATT